CGGCGGCGCAGGCCGGCGGTTGCGGCGGCGGAGCCACGCGGTGCGGCGAGGCCAGGACGGGCGTTGGCGGTGCCTGCGGATGTCGAGGATTGGGACTGGGAAGAGCCTCTCGCCATTTTTTGTGTACGGAAAAGGGAAATCTTCAGTCTTGAGGGGGATATGGAGTTGGGAAGAAGGGCAAAGATGTAAATAAAGTGAAAGTTAGGGGTATTTAGGATAGCGGGATGAGAAATGAAGATCGGAAGTGTTCTAGATTTCTAGAATCTATTTTTGTAGAATAAGATCCAACGGCTCTGATTGACTTTGTTTACGCATGGAAATAAGCCTATGATAGATTTGGTCATATAGGGATACCTGTGTATTATTTTTTTTTTTAAATAAATTGTGAGAGTTGAGTTAAATTGAATTTCTCTCAAATTAGTATGAAACTGAGAATGAAAGTAAGTTCTGGGTAGATGGTATATTGGACCAAGATCTAAATAAATCGTTGGGATTGATGAAACCGAGATGAATATCTCTTATCGAATTTGATGTTACGTCTCGATTTCATCGGTTGGACTATCTAAATTTGGATTTTCATAGGTTACACGATAAATAACAAAGTCGTCATGACGTTCCTTAAAGGAATAGTATACAACCATTTCGGGATGGAGAAGGAAGTCTCGGGATTCTTCAAGAACGCCGGGAAAGAAGCTCCTTTTCGGTATAGACGAGAGTTACTCATCGGAAGTGTTTGAAGGTGTGAACGAGTATATATACTTCAGAAAAGGTTACAACATGTACAATGGGCAGGGACATGCCTCTCTTCTTGTCCGTACACTGATACAAGCCTTCTTCACTCCTCATACTTGCTTCGATTCTCCGCACACCAAAGTGAAAAACTAGACATAAAAGATTGTTAAGATGTGTAAATGTGTTATGTCCTTTTTTCTTTTGTAAGAAATTGTCTTAATGTCCTTAATTAGGGATTTAGAATCTTCATATACAAAAAAAAACAAACAAACTTTTTCATTGTAAGTGATTGGAGATGAAATGGAATCAATATTTTAGCATATATCCTCTAACATATGATAATACGCAACTCGGGTGAATTTAAGAACATGGGTTATACGCCATTTGAGTCACAAAATTATCTGAAAAAAAAAACAGTTTAAAAACATACATTTAATATTTTTATAGTTTTTTTCCGGATAATTTAAAAGTGATATTAGAATTTAGGGTTAGAGTTCGACAAAAATACTTAGACATTTAAATGATCGATCTGCGAGTTGGATATTCGGTTTTTGGATATCTATGATGATGGATCCGAGAAAAATGCACATCTACATTGAGACACTTAGGTTTGTGACAAGTTTCAAATATCGAATTCAATCAAAATTGATACTCTAAAATTATGAATATTTGATCCGTATATCCGAAAATTATTTATGCTGTACAATATGTAACTATTGTAAATAATATTTTGAACCGTAATATACAAATGGTTCAACATAAGATATTCCAACAGAAAAAAAAATCAAAATATTTGGACCCATTTTATTATCGTGTACTGTTTGGCAAAGCTTTCTCCTTATGGGATACCATTTGTCTCTCCATTTTTTTTTCCTTCATGGGACCCATTTTTTATTTACAAAGTTGATATGCTAATTACCCTAATTGGTCTAGAGTTTTTTTAATCTTATGGTAAAAATAAATTTGGTCAAAATTAACACATTTTATCTCCACACAAATTACAAAGTGTTACTTTATTTCTCAATCGAATAACCAGTAAACTTATCAGTCTTATCCCATGCTTTAAAAGTTTTACCGTATTCACAAATTAATCACGCCTATAATTTTATCTAAATCTTATACAATATAAAAATATATAATCACGCTATACGTAATATTAACATTTTCTCCTAAATACTATTTATAAAAAAAAGTATGTTTTATTATTTATAAAAACGAAATATTAAGATGTACACTGAATAAGTTTCAACTGTTTATCTCGAATTTTAATTAGAATACACATGTTATTTTTATTGCATGATTTTTTAATATAAAAATCAATTATAAATGAAGAAAATAATCCATAGATTTTAACCTCCATCTATCTATATTCACTTATAATTATAAATTATTTATTAAAAAATTGACAGTGTATTTTTTTAATAATAAAAAAAAAGGAAGAAGAAGGAGGGGAGAGGAGTCAGCATCTTTAAACGAACGACACAGGCACTTGTGACTTTAATGGGATAAAGTCACTGCGTTGCTTTGTCGTTTTCTCACGACAAAAATATTTGACACGACCTGTCCTACTTAATTATCCACACCTTTTTTTTTTTCCTTATATATATATATATATATATATATATATATGGTTCGCATTTCCGTGTTTAAGTCTGTCCCATGAACCCGAACAGTTCTCTCCAGATTTTACTTGTGGATCTGTAAATAAAACATGTGATATGAATATATGATTTTGAAAGTAATTTTCTTTTGGGGGTTGAAAATCCGCGATATGTACGGAGTAAACCCATCGGTCTCACGCAATAGCCGACAAACCACGTAAAATAGGTTCATTTTATTTTTCTCTGCCTTTTTCTCGTAAGAACTAATATCGATATAATTATAAATACAAAAGTTTGGTTTTTTTATTTTACTAAAATTTAGTAAAAAACTTTAAATTACATATTTATTTTTTGTTGGAATAAAAAAAATGATTCAATAAAATTCCACGAACCATCACCATTCAAAGCCCTACTTTATAATTACTTGTCGCACTAGATGTCATGTCGCAACCTGTGAAATATCATTTCTGTTAGCATTCATAAAAATGGATGACCCAAGCTGTTATATATTTTTAATAATATGTGAACAGAATACGTATTATATAATACTATACATTAATATATATATATATATACATACTTACAGTCACACACGCTTGGGAGCATATAATAACTCAGAACACATAATGGGCAGATGTTGGAATCGTAGCTTCCGAAAAAAAAAATCTAATTTATTTTTACGTAATTATCAAGCATGAAAACTTATAAATAGCTATGAATTATTTTATTACTAAGAATTGTTTCGGTTATATGTCGAACTAGGTAGTGTTTGGAATATATATATATATATTATATATATATATATCATATGCAACATCTTGAAATAAATATTAAGTAAATGTGAAAGTGCTTGAAAAGGAATGATAATGCTAATCATCATATAATTGAGACTAATGGATACGCGTGTCGATATCTTATGAAACCGTGAGGGTTATAATGCATATTTATCGTATTATTTTTTAATTATTGTAAATTAATTAACTAAACAAGGATTAAAAATAATTAGAGAGAGAAGGTTGTCTCTCCCATCCCATCAACCCTTTATGTTTTCCAATCTTCTTTTCTTCTTCATTTTGCTTCTTAAAATTAGAGAAATTAATCATTACATTGAATAGTTGTAAAACTTCGATGTTATTATTTTTTAGCTTTTTTTATCAATTTAATTAATAGACAATATTAAAAATTATTGATGTGTAATATATCATATGATTTGTATTTTCTATCGTGATACGAAGCATTGTATATTAAGAGAAAATGGTATATAAGTTAAATAACAATATGTTTGCAAATATAATTTTAAAATATATGCCAAATAAAGTATCTTTATCGATTAAAAAAAAAACGTAGTGTATGCCTGTCATAAGGGTGCTCATAAATTCGGTGGAGCGATTACTGAATCTAATAAATTCACTTGTGTCCTCAGAGCAAAATAAAAATACATATTATTTATTTATTTATTTATTTATTACGACTTTATTCCAAATGCAAACGCATTGCTTAACCGGAAAACCCGGTTCGAGTTTTATCCGGTTTTCATTGGTAGGACCGAAGTGTCATCGGTCGGTCTCTCTGTTTGCTCCAAACCGTTGCGTCCCCTTATTGCTTTTGTAAAATTTGGGTTTAAAGCATGAACAACCGTAATTGCTTTTTAAATCATATTTATGACATTAATTTATCATCATAATAGCTATTATTTTACGATACTAATCTTATAATTTGTGAGAATTAAACTCTATCTTTTATGATAAAACATTGACTGTGTGACAAATAAAAATTTTGAGAAAAAACAAATATGAAGAAACTACAAATCTAACCAGTAATATGTTTTGTTGTAAACAAGACAAAAAATGAACAAAAATTTACGATATAATTTTAAGATAAAAAAATATTTTTAACAAGGGATAAAAATGATAATTAATAGAATGTTATTTTTTTTAGATATAAGATTTAATAGACGATCATACTAAAGGTGTTTTGAAAGTTTTTTTAAATATCAATTTTTTTTTTACCTAATACAATATGAATTGTGATGTGATAATGATTAGTGATGCCCAAATGTTGGATTTTAAATTAATTTCTCACCGAAAAAGGAGGAGAAAAAGCTCTTTTGTTGCGGAATTGAAAGGAGCAGACCCTCCTGTCTTTAGCTGGTTGGCCCCTCACAACACTATATACATATATATATATATATATATATATATATATATCATAAAACTGAATAACAAATGTGACAGAACATTTAATGAAAAAAAAAGAAACAAAGAAAGGTTCCAAAGAGATACTCTTCTTCGGCTAAGTGTATTCTTCCTTTTTCTTTCATTTGAAAGTTTTGTTGGACATCAGATGCTAATTAATGCACATTCTTTGGAGACCGAAGCCTTATTACTGCAATCAGAGAGCGTTTGATTTCAGGGTTTATGGTAAAGATGTGAACTTTTTTCTGGGAAAGGAATACAATTCCGAAAATTTTACAGAGAAAAAGGAGTGAGTGCGAGTGTCTTTGTGGGTTCTGTTCTGTCTTGGCTCTGTCTCCCCCACCCGTCACAATCTCTCTCTCCCTCCACCAAATTGGCTTTTATTTCCCTTTTGCTGCCTTGCTTTTCTTTAATTGTTCATATCTGCAATTGTCTATGTCTGTTCCTTCTGCTCCCTCTTCTCAGTACCTGCAAATGGAGGACGAAGAATCATACTTTGAAACCCTTGTTATTATTTGATGCCCTTTCTCTCTCTCTCTCTAAGCTATGATTCCAGCCAGACCCATTTCTCCTACTAATAGAAACTTTTTAATTCAGCTCCGTGGGTGGGTTCTTGTTTGTGGGTTTTACTTGAAAAGGAGAGGGCTTTGTCACTTCAGAGCCTACGGATTTCGCTACTTCCTTTGATGGGTCTTTCTAGTTTCGTTATTTTCTGATTAGAAACAATCTACTTTTTGCTAAAAGGAATGAACTTTTCTTCGGAAGGTTTCATGGAATTTGACCTGAACCGCGAGGCTGTGTCCGTAGAGGGGAAGAACGGTGGTGGAGGGCTTGAGAGGGGTAGTTCCGGTAATTCATCATCGTCTTCTTCCTCTTGCTCGTCTGGGTCAACACCTTCTTCAGCTTCTGCATCTTCTATATACTCTGAGCTTTGGCATGCCTGTGCTGGTCCTTTAACTTCACTGCCCAAGAAGGGCAATGTGGTTGTGTATTTCCCACAAGGCCACTTGGAGCAAGGTGTTATGGTTTCATCTTCATCAACTTTATCTCCCTTGGAAATTCCAAAATTTGATCTTCAGCCCCAAATCTTCTGTAGGGTTGTGAATATCCAATTACTTGTAAGTCTTCATTATCTCCTGATTAGCTTTGAGATTTTTGTATTGTCATCAATTCAGTATTATTGCCGTTGTTTTGTGCTACATGGACTATTCTTGAACAAGTTTGGTTTCTAATTATGGCTAATGTTTGCTAATTTTGTTCTCTTCTGAAAAAAGGCAAACAAGGAGACTGATGAGGTTTACACACAGCTCACCCTGCTTCCTCAGCAAGAGGTACTCTGTTTTCTTATTTGATTGAATGCTAAATAGTTCTTGAATCGTGTTGATATTGCAGTAGTCCCTCAGACTCTAGGTGAGGTTTTTCATTGGCTCAAAACAGTCTATAGATTCCATGGTAGATGAGATTCCTATAAGAATTCTGTGTATTTCCTGTGATTTGAGTCCTTGAAAGTGTGGTTTTGTGTTTTGGATTTCCATTGTTCATGATTGTGATGATAAGTAGATGAAAATTCTTGGATGATGTAGCAGGCTGTTCTAAATATGGAGAGGAAAGAGACAGGGGAGTTGGGAGGGGATGAAGAAAGGAATGGAAGTTCATCTACCAAACGGACACCTCATATGTTCTGTAAAACCCTAACAGCTTCTGACACGAGCACACATGGAGGGTTCTCTGTTCCTAGAAGAGCTGCTGAAGATTGTTTCCCTCCTCTTGTATGTTTCTGTCTGAATCTCCTATTCCTCCCATTTTCCATGAAACTTTCTTTGTTCGGATCGTTATCTTGTGCTGTTGATGGATGTCAGGACCACAGTCAGCAGAGGCCATCTCAAGAACTTGTGGCAAAGGACCTCCATGGAGTTGAGTGGAGATTTCGGCATATTTATAGAGGTAACTGTAATAAAATTTCAAGTGGGCAATAACATTGTTAAATGGTTAGAATAAGGTTTTTCCTACTTGAACATAAAAGTATCAAGCGGCTAATAACATTGAAAATGGTTAGAAGAAGGTGTTTCCTACCATGTATGAGAAATGAGAGCTTAATAAGCCATCTACATCAAATTTGATGCGGAGATATGTTGGTTGTGTGTCTATATGTGGATGAGGAATTTGAAGCATAGACTTATGGTTGTTCATCTCTTCTCTTGTTGGTGTCAGACAATTTTTTTGTTTTTTGTAACTACAGGTCAACCTAGGAGGCATTTGCTCACCACTGGTTGGAGCATTTTCGTCAGCCAAAAGAATCTCGTCTCTGGTGATGCAGTTCTTTTTCTGAGGTAAGCCATGGTTATGAGTTCAATGGCATTTTAGTCTAACCATAGCTACAGAAACAAAGATTTTTTTAGCTATCAGATCAGATGTAGATATAAAATGGTTATGTTCTGGTTTGCTCTTGGTGGTAGGAAGCTATTGATATGCAATTTTTTTTAAATATTTTATACCCTTTCGTACAAAAACGTACCATTTTTTACCATCTAACACAAACCTTCGATTTTCAGAGGTGAAGACGGGGAGCTGAGGCTAGGAATCAGAAGAGCTGCTCGGCCAAAGCATGGACTTCCTAATTCTATTGTTGAGAAGAACTCATGCTCGAACATTCTCTCTCTTGTGGCTAATGCAGTGTCTTCCAGAAGCATGTTCCATGTGTTCTACAGTCCACGGTATTACACGAAAAACAGCTTCTACGTATGTGAAGTGTTTCTCTCGCTCAAAGTGTGAAATGAAAACGATATTTCGCTTCATGGGTTCAATATGCAGTGCCACTCATTCAGAGTTTTTAATTCCTTATGAGAAGTATATGGCAAGCATCAGGAATCCTGTTTCTATAGGTACGAGGTTCAGAATGCGATATGAAATGGATGATTGTCCTGAAAGAAGGTATTGCTGTTACTCGATTCTAATAATCTGTGTGGTAGGCTATGGTTTTTTCTTGCAAGAAAAAAATAAGTTAGTTCATGTTTTCTTGTAGATGCACCGGGGTAGTGACTGGAATCAGTGACCTGGACCCGTATAGGTGGCCAAACTCGAAATGGCGATGCTTACTGGTATATGTCCTCATATTTCCAGTTCAGTTCTCAATGATCAAACAATTGGAAATTTGTTTTATTTTAACCCTTTCCTTCTTTGACATTGTTTGATAGGTACGGTGGGACGAGTCTTTCATGAGCGGTCACCAAGAAAGAGTCTCCCCTTGGGAGATGGATCCTTCAGCTTCTCTCCCACCTTTGAGCATTCAGCAGTCTCCGAGGCCAAAAAGGTCGCGGACTGGTCTACTGGAAGTTTTACCCGTGAACCCCGTAATGGGTAACTATACGTGTTATTCTCTGTAGAAACTTCTACCCATTTGAACCAATGACGTGAAACAATTTTGTCTTTTATTGAATGGTACTGATTTAGTGTTCTTGGTGCAGCAGAAAGGGGTGCTTTTTCGGTCTTTGAGGAGTCGATTAGACCCTCTGAGGTCTTGCAAGGTCAAGAAAATATAGGTTTTGCATCACACTTACATGGCTGTGATGTTATGAACCGCCGGAAACTGGATATTGCTATGCCGTCTCATGCAAATCCGGTTCTTGTTTCTACTGGAATGAAGGCTAAATTTGGTGAGTTTATAGGTGCAACAACAACCCGTGCCTACTCGGGCATTTTGGACCTGGAAAGGTTTCCAAGGGTCTTGCAAGGTCAAGAAATTTGCTCGGTTCGATCTTTTCCACAAGCTGCTGCTTTTAACGCACCCTCCTGGGGAGCACCCATTACTGGGTGCAACAACAATCCCTTTGCTTATCAAGCCAACAAATCAAGTTTCTACCCTCTTGCCTCACAAGGGCTGAGAAGCACTGGTATTCCATTTCACAACCTATATAATGTTGGAGAAGTGCCTTCAAGATGGCATCGTGACATGATGAATTCTCCAAGGGAGACAGAAGCTCTCGGGAATGTAATACAGAACTTGGGCATACAAAATGAACGTGTTCTGCCGGAAAAAGTTCCGACTGCTTCAGGCTTGAAGACAGCTATGGTGAGCAGGCAAAAGGGTGATGATTTTAACGGGAAAGTCCCATCGGGATGCAAACTTTTTGGATTCTCCTTACCCGTTGAGACACAAGCATCAAACCCACAAAACTCAAGCAAAAGGATCTGCACAAAGGCAAGACCTTTTTTTCTTTTCTGCATCTGTCCTTGAAGCATCACACACACCTCTAAAAATGTCTCTTCTTATTGTTTCTCTGATGGGCTTGTGTTAATAATTGGTTTGAAGGTTCACAAGCAAGGCAGTCTTGTGGGAAGGGCGATTGATTTATCCCGACTTAATGGGTATGATGATCTACTTACGGAGCTTGAACGGCTATTCAGCATGGAAGGGCTTCTCCGTGATCCAGACAAAGGCTGGAGGATCTTATACACTGATAGCGAGAACGACATGATGGTTGTTGGTGATGATCCATGGCTGTAAGTTCATCCATCTCTAATGTTCATTAGCTGTTTCTTGGCAGCTCATGACTTCATCCAAAGAGCTTTTTCTTCTGAACAGAAAAGCAATGAGTGGTTTCTCATACATTACTCTTAGGCACAGGTTGAGAGAAAACCCTGAACTTGGCTCTGATCGGATTTGATGTTTTTTCCTTTTCCTTCTCAAAGTTCATGATATGCTACTACTACACATAAAACTCGAAATGGGTTCTACTGGTTTTTGTTTGGCAGCGATTTCTGCAATGTGGTGGTGAAGATCCACATCTACACAAAAGAAGAAGTGGAGAAGATGAACGTAGGACACGTAAACGACGATAACCAGAGTTGTCTGGAGGAAGCTGCTCTAATGGTGGAAGCTTCTAAATCATCTTCAGTGAGCCAGCCTGATTTCTCTCCAGACAGTAGTAACTGAGAGAGGATGTCTTTGATAAAAACAATGGAAACCCAAGTTTGGTTTAGTCTGGTTTACAAGGCCTTGACTTGTCGGTTTCTGTTTAGTTTTCATGGATTTGGATTTGGATTTGTTATCAAAGATTTGAAAGTTTGTGGAAGTGTATGTGTATGTGTATGGAAAACAAAAGCTTGTGAAAAGATTTGTTCTTGAATTCAGTTTTATTGCAGCTTTCATAGAAACGGAGGAATCTCGAGAATGCTTTGTAAGATTATTACCGTATTAGGTAAGCCTGTTTCAATCTCTCTACCAATGGTGTGGTTTCATCATATACATCCATACATATATACAACATATACATACACATGCAGTATTACACATCTATGTAGTTGCAAAGGAAACTAATGAGATTTTTTTTTCAATGTTTTCTTTTTTGGTAAAAAGAGCGGACATTTACAGGCTCACTTCTCTGTTTCCTAAACAGAAACTCAGCTTCTCTGTTTTGCACTCTTCACTCCAAAAAAAACCTATCTGACATGTATGTATCCATATTACCACGAAAAAAATTGAATCAGCAGACCTCTCCCCTTCTACATTAACTTAAAAATCTCTGCTTTCAGTGCTTCATCCTGCAAAATCCCGAGCTCAACGTGAAAAACTGACCTTAGAGAGAGCTCGATAAATCCATGTAAAAAAACGAAACCCGGATGGGACGAACAGCTTACAGTGCGAGCGAAGAGAATCAAGGATATCTCGGTAAAATCCCACCAGATGTTTGATCCTTATGATTGTTCTGTTGATAGTGTTAAGAACCAAATGACACCCGAAAACCCCATGCCAACTTGGAGCGAACGGGAGGGTAATGTATAGACATGGTGGAATCTACCAGCCGGAAAAATCATTCACGCCATATCACTCGGTATCCGAGTCAATGGAGAGAAACAGCCTGGGTCTTACAGAACGCTTCTGCCGAGGGATCAAGAGGGGACTATCTGATCTTTGTCTACTTGCTTTCTCTGGTCTACTCTCATTCATACCCAAAAGCAATGAAGCTGCAAGCAGGCAGTCAGAGTCAGTACCAAAACAGCATTCATAACCCAAAAAAAAAGGCATGAAATAGAAATGAGAGATACTGTCCAAAAGAGAGCAATCTTTTACTTAAACAGGTCTTTTGTCTTTATAGTTGGTTACATACCCGAGAACCTAATAGGTGAAGAAGATGAGAATTGGTACATGAATCTAATGCTAATAAGATACTAACTAGATTCTTACTGATAACTAGTCTAAGTCAGGGAACAAACCGGTCTCTGTCAATGTATCCAACGTGTCTTCCCTTCCGGACATTAATGGCTGGTTTGCGTTAAGCCCGTTATCTGGTGCCACCTCTCCGTGATTTTCATGATTCCCGCACACGCTATCTCCAAGCCTAAGCGAGATCCAATCATCACTGCGGATACTGTTTGGCAATTCAACTTGGTTTCTATAATTGGACTGAGCTGAGGCATCGGGTTTTGTTGGTAGAAATATTTGAAGTGAAGGATCGTCTCTGCTAAACGCCAGAGGATTATCAACTAAGCCATCATTTCCGTCTGCTTCAGATAGGCCGGCTGAATCCGGAACCATGGGAGCAGATGCCATCGATGTCTCGGGAACCATGGTGTACCCACCATTTACTGCAGGGGCACAGTTCAGTGACCCGGGCTGCAAACCGACCATATCTTCTGAGATCTCGGCCTCAGGTGCAAATAGTTGGAACCCAGGACCTCCTTGTGTTTCAGGAGGCAACGGCCATGGAGGCAGATCAAAATCATCGTCGTCGAAAAGACCCATTCCGGAATGACCTACAGCCACTGTGTTTGGGCCTTCATTATAAGACTTCATCATACCAGGCAGGTGAAGCGGAAAATTTACCCCGCTATCAGTTTGATTGCCATTGTAGGTGGGTTCAGATGTGATCAGGACATCATTTTCATCATCTGAATCACTTAGAACAATGACGTCCTGATTTCCAGCTGCTGCAGGTTGACTCCGGTCGGCAAAGTTATAGCCTGAATCAACATTCATGGGCATTGAATCAAGTTCTATCCCATTGCTTACAAAATCAAAGGCTCCGACAGCTTCCTGATTTACACTCGGGTCATCACCATCCCTACCACTTGCAGTGGCACTACTACTCATCGGTATGATGTGCTGCTCCTGTCGGTATCCAAACTTCTCTTCTCTGTTACTGGTAGAAAAACCATTCGCATTAGGTTTGTTAACTTCCCAAATACCATTGCGATTCTTCCTTATCCCAAGTTTCAGACCAGTCGGACCATCCGAACAGCCTTCTTGTTTAACTGCGGTCAATGTTTCCGCTTTTGGTTTAGCCTCATCAGTGGAGGGGCAGAGATTACCATCAGGCAAGTGCCACTGTGTGAGTTCACCCAATTCACTTTTGGACTTCACACGCCAAGAACCATCAGGCTTCACTTCAATTTCAGTCACATCTTCATCACAGTGTCTCATCTGTCGTGCAGGTAGACCACAAAGATACTCAATGTACCGTATTAGTAATATTAAAGCAATAATATGGAACTCTATTGGAAATTTACCTTAGATGTGACACGGTTAAAATAAGGGTCCATGATTATATGCTCTAGTGAGTAGTTCTTCAAGCAAATAGGGCACTGCCACTGCAGTTGCGCAGACAGAACAATAGATTCAGAAATATTAAGGGAAATACCCCGGTTATCTAGATTATCTTAAGACACCTGCCTTTCTGGAACGTTGATTCAGCTCCACAAACACCTCAAGGTCGAAACAGCCCATGTGTGCACAGGGTTTAAATCTCCCAGCAACTTTTATCCTGGAACCGCTCATCTAACGAGGCAAACGGAAAAGATGAATAAAAATCGGTCTCCAAAAAAGGACACAAATAGACCCAGAAAGAACACAAACAAGTTGTGTGGATAGAAGTAGAGAAATGATGTAGGTGAACCATCAGATAGATACATAATTGTAACGTATAAAAAGGGAGCTAAAGCTACTGAAGTGACTTACAGGACAACGGAGATTGACAGTGAAGAAATCTGCAACGACTTCAATGTCACTGTCACTGTCAGCATTATCACCTCCAGTTCCACCTCCAACACATCGGCGCACACGGCCGAGAGCCTCCTCGAAAGGCTCACCTTTAGCCTCCTCCGGAATCATATTTAGGACCTAGATAAAAACAAAGGAAACTCAGAGAGAAAACAATACCAAGCACCAGCACAAGAACTGAAGCACAAAAACTCATTCCTAGATTTTATTTCATTAGAAATATCACTTTTCCAGCAATAGTGATGAATACAGTTACGAGAAAAAGGGGACATAACTGTTCTAGCATAAGGCTACACGGATAAAACAACAGGAGTCCAAAATGAAGCTTGATTTTTCACCCTACAACTTGAAATCAAATACAAACTTCTAAACAATAATTTTCACACAAACTGACAGAAAACGGAAATTGCAAGTTAATGGTCAAACATGATCACACACTAAATTGCCACCAGGTAGACATAGATTGTGAATTACTTGTCAAACCAAATTTGAGTATTATACAGACTATATGGTTCTATTTGCACATTCATGAGTTTATTGCTACACTGAACATCTTTGAACATTTTTCAAGCAATATCTAATCAGTAAATAGAAGTACCTGCTGAAGTGTTCTTCGCTTCACAAGTCTAACCCCAAAGCAAAAAATGCGAGCATCACATCCATTTAAGGATATCTTGTTAACGCCGTCTCTAATAAAAGGCGTTATCTACCAAAACAAGGACCAGTGCAAACATATTGCATCATTAATTACAAGTGTTAGATCAAAGTGGTGTATGAGAAAGGGATCAAACACAAAGGACCATAATCGATCAGGGATGAAAAACGTACAATTGGTCCATCATCGCGGCCGTTGGCCCCTAGAAGTTGTGACCCTGGTCTGTTAATAGCACGGACAGGTACACCTATAAAGGAAAACAAATTAGATCCATTATCAGATCATATCCGAAATGTTGTTCAGTCAGATCATAGATGTTCCGCTGAAAGTGGCACAAGAAAAACAAAACAAACTAACGAGTTTATAACTATACCCAAGAAACCCATATGTAACAGTTATAAAAAAAAATCCATTAACACTGAGATTAAAACTTAACATATCAGACCAATTTGCAGAGGATGACTGACATACCATTGACTTGAAGATCAGTATATTGTGGCCACTGCATCCTGAACTGAACTTTGTCATTCAAAAGCATACACCACGCCTGAAGAGAAACAAAATGAACTGCAATTTAGAAACTGTATACGTAGACAGTAAAATTACCTATTTACCTGCTTAAGAAATCGACAACCTGAACATCATACTCTTGTTTGGCCACCAAGTCCTTGTCTGCTCTTGTGATTTGAAATGTTCTCTCCACACTCTGCATTGGGTTTGTACTGGAACGTTTTGGACCAGAAGATTAGACCAAATAAAAATCTGTAGCAATGTTCTCTATAAATCCAAGCTTGAAAGGTCACAATACAATTACAAAGAAGGTAATTCAGCTACCCTAGAAAACATAGACCCTGATACACAAGTAGTACCAGTGCTGGAGATTTAAGTCTACCATACTCTGCCTTATTCTCTCAATTCCATAAGGCCCTCCAGTCAATAACAACTAAATTGTACAATGCCAATAATTCAAAACTAGACTCATTAATATTGATAAAAGAACAGAGAAAGAAATGACATCACCAACCCATCACCAAACCCCAAAAAAACACAAGAAATGAGATCACGGACTTGTTTTAAAACAAAAAATGCTTACAATTGTAATTTCGAATTAGGGCTCTAACATGTCAAAATGCACAAACATATGAATTGCAATATGACAGCAGCACATCAAATATGACATACTCACCCATCAGTTGGGATAGCTGTAGCAGTCAACTTCACTGGAAACAACGGATGTGCCACCGTGATCCAAAATCTACAGAGGAAAGACAATAGAGGATATTCGAGAAGAGCACTAGTTTCATAAGGTATAATCATAGGGTAAATAAAGAAACGAGAAGATTTAATGACCGAATCCTAAACAAGTGTTCAAATAAGAGAATTCTGGAAGACGTAAGAACGGAAAAAGGAACCAGTAAAAAGAACCAATTTAAAGAATCTCTTCTTCTCAAATTCTAATAGGGAGATTCATGGTTTGAGAAGAGAAAACAATAGAAGCGTGAAACTCGCACTAGATTCAGGAACAGAGATACTCACGGGTCAGCACGGGCAAGTCTGCATAGTTCACAGTAAAATGAGTCAGGAAGAGGCAGGTTTCCTTCCATAGGCTTCTCCGGAATAATAACACAGCCAACATGTTCCCAGATATGACATCTCCGGTCCTCACACTGGAAGTTATCAAATGGAAACTCAATCGATAGGAGTAACAGACAAAGTCATCCATACATTTAACAAATAAATCAGACAATCATTCGCAATAAATCAGGAGCTTCTGAAGTGTGTAATTAAACATGATTTGGAACAGAGCTATCTCCAGTTACCTGTATCATTGAGTCCGCCTCTAGAGAACTTCCACAAAGACATCGAACTTTTATATCCGATTGAAAGGGATCTTCAATTTCCCCCTTAACTTTCCCATTACTGATGTCTGAGCCAACTTGTCCTTTTGATGCTAATTCACTAGCCCCAGACACTTGCATTTTCCTGCGGAACACACACAAATTAACCGTGGTACCAAGGAGAGGACCGAGAGGTGTATCACTAATACTAATAAAGATGATATCGGGCAGTTTATTATAAAGAAATTGTAGCATTTACGACTGCACACCTATAGGTGTCATCAACTAGCTTTGCAACATCATCCCTTGTCACAATATTCTTCTTAGACCACAGCCTGGAAGCTGTAAATAAGCAATGAAGACATAAACGTATCAGCAGTGTGTAGAGCTACCAGTGGAATATTTTTTTACATTAATACTCTGATACATAATAAATAATTTCCATTTACCTTGTTCATCAGAGAGAACAGCCAAAATCCGGTCAATGAGGTCCTGCACCAACAAATTGCTAAAAGATCAACTTGGGAACTGAAGATTTATAGTAGCCTATAGGCACCATGAGACTTTTCTGCTAACTACCCCGAGAGTTATAAAGTGCAAACTTTACATAAAGTTCTGACCTGTTTCTTTCCCTGTTTTGAAAGTCCCAGCTGAGTGAGCACATCCTTCAGCTCTTTTATCCGGAAATATGCAAGTTTATCCTGTAAGGATATCACGTTAAACTTTGAGCTTGGCCACAATAACTAACATTGAGGTGAAACAAAAGCCTCTACTGCCACTAGGACAATGATATCTAATCATTTTTTCCTTGTTATGCCTACATATCACCTAAGAAATATGTGTGAAATGTCCGTAGTAGAGCCTGCAATCACAAACCATGAACCAGAACCCTGCATCTTGATCTCACCATGGCAAAACCAAATCTCCAACCACCAGATTTTGACAATGAGAACATTCACTACTCGGGTAAATCACAAAACCATCCCACCCCACAGCCTTCAAATTCTCAAATAATAAAGCTCAACACTTGTTGGATTTAAACAACAGATGCGCTAAAGGGAGCATTACGCAAGTCAGAAGCATGTATCTGCTCCTAAATAAGCAACAATTCTTTATAGTTCTAAAACGAAGCCAACAGACATTCATAAAGAAACTCTTTTTACACCTTTGCACACCATCATCAAGTGAACACTGGGCACTTTTAACCACCCCAACAACAGAAGCCGTGTAAGAACAATTCACACCTACAAGCACAAAATTTCCTGGGAATACCTTGCAGTTAGTAACCAAATCCATGTCTCAACCCCTAACAACGAGAAACACCAGCTCGGTTCAAAACAAGCAGCCGCAAACTCGAACAATCACTGACAGAGCCGACAAATTCACAGCATAAAGCGTCCATACAGCAGCCAATCTAAACAACGAGAAAAACCAGACAAAGGGACGCGATCATTCATAAGACAATTCCATCACCATAAATGAAATTAAAAATCGAACAAAAAAATCCGCCAAAATGAATAGAAACACAACCCAGGGATCGGACACTGCACATCAAAACATCCGTAGATTGAATAACCGAAAGGAAGATTAACAAATTAGGGTTTCCTCTCCGGACGATGAATCTGTTATCTTTGTTTTCTTCGTTTGGGGCTCCAACTCCAAGAGACACCAACCAGATGGAAGAAGCGAACTTCTACGACGAAAAAACAAGGAAGGGTAATCGGACCCGTCGCCGACTGTCAAATCCGGTTTAGTGACAGCAATACGTCCGGGCTGAGATCCAGTGTGTTCTCGTGCATAATTCCCAAAATACACCACACCTAACTTATTAGACGACTTCTTTTTTTTTTTTTTTTTCGCTTCGTCCACTGGCTCTCTGTATCTTCTGGTGTTTTCGGATCTCGCCACGTCACGACCCGAAAAACCTGCGCGTCGATTTCAGCCGTTGGATCACTGGGGCAGGTTTATAATATTGCAAACTTGTAAAGTTTCTGAAGGAGCCCGTTAGTTTTGTATAATTCCTAAATGAACCCGACTTTCTTACAAAATAACAATTGTGTCCTCGTGTAAAAAAATGAAAACATCTCTTTTTTAAGAAAAAAAAATGTAGAAACTGTTATTCATTTTCATCTCAATCCTAAAAACAAATATAGGGTTTTTTAAGTCATATAAAAATAATAGGACTAATGCCAAAATCAATTGAATTATGTTCTATAAAAATATATATATTTTTTTTGGTATGATGTTCTATAAAAATATTGAATTTCCTCTGGGGTTTGACCTCTGGATTGGGCTTATAACTGAACCTAGAGCTCAAAGATCAATTACAATGGATCAAACCCCTCGAGCTCAGCCCAACCCGACTCTCTCTCTCTCTCTCTCTCTCTCTCTCTCTCTCTCTCTCTCTCCACATTGGCGAAGCTGCATTGCGCGAGCAACTGAGACATGAAGCGAAGTTGGGTTCGTCAATGGCGGGGGTGAAATACGGAGGACGGGTTATTTCTGGGAAATTCACCTGTTTAAACGGTTGCTCGGAAAGTGAAGGAAAACGACGAGGGTGAAGAACGCGAGATGTATTATTCAAGCGCAAAAGATTTGTTTTTTTTTTCTCTCCCTCTCTCTGTTTGGTTTCTGGGAAAAAGGAAAGAAAATGCAATCAGGTGAACGCAAGGTATTTGAAGTGTGAATTCTTCATTCACTACGTTTATTGATTTGATTCTTTTGAAGTCTGAAACTTTTTGATACACCAGTTGTCTGTAGAAGTGATATCACAACTCCTGATGTCGTGAAGTCGAGTTCGTGTTCCTGATGTCTTCTCCTGTTTTCCCTATTGTCTCGTTGGAACAATCATTGAAATGCTTATTTCTTTGTCATTGAATCCAACAAATAATTCTGCCTTCAAAGAATCTTGGGGAAGAGGGGAAACACATGTTCTTGATACAGATGTAGCTTTCTACTTTCCTTAATTTCGATTTTTACATTGTTACTCAGTTCCAAGATTGTAGGAATCTAGGAAACAGGATACATCTTTCAGTGACAATATAGTAGTTGAGTTGCCCATTTCCTTTCCGTGTCTGTTTGTTGCTCTCATTTAGGTATGTAGGATTACTGTACTGTTCCTTAGTCACTTACATTGGTGGATCAACCAGATGGTTTCAGGTTTGACTACAGGGAATGAGAGGTTCAATGAAGTGAAACAAAATCAGTGGCTCATCACTAGGGTTGGAATCCTTGATGGTATTTTATTTTAAACTCCACCAAGATAGTATCAAGACTTTCAAAAGAGAAGGTAAGAGAACTGGAAAGAGTAAAAGGGGCTGAACCTCTTCTTTCCTTGCCGGTTGAGTGAAAAGCCATTAGCCATGAACATCGTCTTCGACTCTCTGCATGAAGATGCACATATAAGGTTTCCTATGCAAGAGAAATACCACCATCAGCGAGCAAGCCACTAAGGCATGGATGATGGTGCTATCTCTCCTGCGAAGCAAACCTTTTTTGCATTGCTGAATCCACAGAGAAAGCTAATCAATAATGGTTGATGAACCTTCTATTAGACTCAAACCCTCTACATATATCACCATGAGAAACCTAAGAGGCAACTAGTATCAGAAATTCACTATGATTGTTGCTCTTGTCATTTAGTTTGCTGCTTTCTATGTGGCTGCAATCAAATGACAGGGGATTATTATCCGAATGAGGTCATCTTGTATACGTCATCCGCTGTGATTTGGCATTAACTTCATTTCCAACATGCTGCATTGATTTTTCTATTTCCTTTTCATGTATATATGGTAAAAGGCAGCTTTGCTTCTTTTGGATAACTGAGCTCCTGGATTTGCACATGTCCTTGGTACATTACCACATGTGATTATCATGTAAATTCTTATGCTTTGTTCATTTGCTGGAATACATTCAGCAAAAGCAGAGTTTTTCGGTTCCATAGCATCTGGATGGTAAAGGGTATAATCATGGTCCCATGGAAAGTATTAAACAGTTGAATTTTTTTGCTTAACTTGTCATTCAGTGATATGCTATACCATGAGCAGGTCTGGGATGGAGACTCAATCATAGGACGAGCCACTGGATTGTTTCTGCATATGAGGTCAGAATCTTTTACAAAGTGCAACCTTGTTTGTGTGTCTCTGATCCAACTTGATATGATAATATCGAGAAACTATACACTAGAATAACCCTGAAGCCATGTGTCATTCTCAATCTGCTAATGCATATAATACAAAAGAGAAAGACGGGAACTAGATGACGGATAACTAATCTTAATCACATAATTAGGAAAGGGGAAGTATCCTAATTGACAAGAAACCTGATTTTTGGTTTGAACAATGCCGTTGTCAAGACTTTTCTTCGTGGGCTCCATTGCTGCTATTTAGTGATCAAGTTGATGAAGGCCATTTTTTTGTTTTATGCAACTCAGACAAGACCGGTCCAAAGTATCACACTTCTTCTGTCCGTTTTCTGAATCTGCATTGTCTGTGCCAGCTTCTTTTTCATTTTGGATTATAGACATATACAAAGCCAAAATAAAACTCAGTCATGAAAATATACTTGAATTTACAAATGAAGCTTCTTCTTTTAGTCATAGAGACGATGGTTTTGATTTTCTTACAAGTTCCTAATCTAATTCATTTTTTATGCTCATGTCTTCAAACCAGTGACTTTAAGAAAAGCTTCTCATCTCTGTTTTTTTTTTTTGCTTTTTGTCACCCAAAAGTGAAAAAGAGAACCATAAAGAAGCAAAAGAATCAAATCCCAGGTTGTTCTTATGCATTGTCATGCGGAGAAAAGGTGAACAAACTGATATTCACGCGTATCTTTCCATTATTTATACGGAAGATAAGAATAGTTTCCTTAAATATTGTGGTTATTCCTTGATATTCTCACTACTACTACACGTCTGTACCCTTCTTTTATGATGAGCAATGGATCTTTTGAGAGAAGAGGCCATACCTACTCCAAATATCAAATGCCCCACAGGCTAATCTATCATCTCACATTGTAGTAGAAAACACCATATACAATATATCCCTCCCCCCCCCCCCCCCTCACATTGTAGTAGAAAACACCATATACAATATATCCCCCCCCCCCCCCCCCCCATCAATTCAAGATCTTGATCAAAGTCTCTACTTTTCATTTTTCTTCAAGATCCCAAGTTTTAGCTCACTTACAGATAAATCAAATCTTTCCTTCAAAATACAAGGGAATGCTACCAACAACTCTTAGTGGCAACTATGGGTTTCCTCTCTGCCTCTCCAGGATCACAGCACAGCACTTGTTGGATGTTTCCAGAGAGTAATTTTATTTCTTTATGGTCCTTTTTCTTTGCTACTCAGTCTCTATATACGAGTCTTTGTTTGGGTTTTGTTCCATCCTCCTTTTTTTCTATGAAGGACAGCTGAGCATGAGCAGAGAAGGAAAGGGATGACGACGGTGATGAAGAAGAAGAAAAGGAGATCAGAAGGTGAGAATGTGCCAAGGGATGGTGAATCACAGCTTCAAGAGATGAGAGAAGATCAGGAAGTGAAAGATGTTGTTGCTCTGTTAAAAGATCTTGGGTGGCCTTCTTCTCCCCATCACACAGCCAGAGCAGCTTAGTAGCTATAGTCTTAGTTCTTGGACTTAGCTTCAGTTTAATGGACCATGCATGTCTTTGTTATATATTGCTGTTGGAGCCACTGCAAGTAGACAAGGTTCATAAGCTTTGTTTTGGTGTTTTTTTTTTGTTGTTGATGATGAATTCACTGCAAGTTGCCTATAGGTTTATTCAGCCTGATCTTTTTGTGATGGATGTTTTTTTTTTGGGTTTGGTGTGGAACACTCAAGTCTTTTGTAAGATACGGTGTGTGGTGGTACGATGATGTGCGTTGCCTCTTCTAGTTCTTATCCTCTCTCGCTCTCTCATTTATGTCTCTTGACCAACCATCTTGAATTGCCTTGTTATTAATTCACCAAGTTAAACCCCAAGCTACCAATTTTTGTATGGCACAATATGATTCGTGAAGAGACCAGATCAGGAATCAAATCTCAGACTGCGAAACAAGGGATTGGCCATCATAGTAAATAGACTTCCTACATATAATTTACTTGCATTAGAAAACGCATTAAATGGCTTTAGGAGGCGGTCGTGGTCGGTGGGGGGGGGGGTGA